TCTGTGCCTTCGGAACGGGTGGAGCGTGCAAAAATCCAAAACCAGCGCCGTTCAGTCCGGACATCGGCAGGGAATTCGTGCAGTTTGGCCGGGCCGTGGCAGCGACGCAGCGGACACTGGGTGGAACTCCTGCCGCAGACTCTGCAATGTTGTTCAAGAGATTTCGAAGAGTGTCGAAGACTTGGTTGATTGCAGGTTTCCGCGTTTGTGTTTGTGCCGTGTTTGTTGTGTAACACATGTAATGTGTGCAGGGACAGGTCCGTCATACGACGCACCTGCTGCAGCTGCTGCAGGCTCTTCGTCGCCCTGCGATTTTCAGCTTTCGACTTAGCCCCTCCATCGACGCCATGTCGTCGTCTGCTGGAGTCCCAACTGCGGCCCAGCTGGCGGCGGCTTTTGCCACGATACAGGCGGCCCTGGACAACGACATGAATGTCTATATCCACATGAGCGGAGGGACGGCGTTGCAAATGGCGACGTAGTCGGCAGTGCACGGCGGCACGGCCAAACCACTTCTCGTTGGTGGTGCCGTCGAAGATGGCTCCTGCCGGCAGGCGACGGATCGGGGGTGTCGTCTGCTGGGTCGGTGGCATCCAGCTAGCCGGCTCGAAGCCGCCGGCCAGGCGATGGCAAAGGACAGGAGGCTCGGCGATCTGGAACCAGACTGGTGGAGGGGAAGCCGGATGAGGCCCGTGGCAGGGCACGGTTTTTTGCAAGGCGATGCCGACGCCTAGGCGAGCCGTCCGGCTCGCACATGCTGCCGGATATTGAGGAGAGAGCGGCGCGAGACCATACTCCCAATAATGATGCCGCCGGCCAATGCCGCGGGATACTTTTTCATCCGTGCCTTGCCGGCCAACGTATACATGCGTGTACCGGAGCAGTGGACACATGCCTGGTTGTGGCGTGGGCATGTGGCGGCACTCGTGGCCAGGATTACTGAGCCGGCCTGCATCGTCGAGGAGATCTTACGTGGCCGGCGACTACAGGTCCTCCTGCTCGATCGTTTGCACTTTAATTTGCGTTGAATGCCTCCTCGTCCGCCGAGCTATTGTCGAGGCTCGTCGTGTCGTAAGCACCGGCGAGTCATGGCGAGTCTCACCGCAGTTTGCACCAGCCAAGGACATGCAGGGAAGGTGTCTTGATCGACGGTACAGTAAGCTGTGCGATGAGACGGCCGCCGCCCAGTCGATCCTGAAGAGGACAAGGCGACCAACTCGATGCCGTCGTCGACTACTGCTACCGGCGAAGAAGAGGCCGGGGGAGCCGCGGCCAGGACGGGGAGCGTGAACCGTGCCGGCCATGGGGCGGCAGCCAAATTTAGGGTCGGAGGCCGCAGCGGCGCGGACAGCGGCGATCAGGACCAGCATTGGCGACGCCAACCCTGGCGACAGAACTGGGACGGCGAGGATTGTCGCCAGACCAAAGCCGTGGCGATGACCAGCGCCAGCTATCCGCCAGTCAGTGCAGTTCGGGGTGGTCCGCCGACAGTGCCGACAGACGAGGTCCAGCCTTAGCCGCGCCGGCGGGTTCATGGGACCGGGCCTGCGTCGAAGTGCTCCACCATTCGTCAACCAGCGTGGCTCAGGGCACGGTGCCGCCGGCCGTGGTCATGGCCCAATTGCACTGTCGCCCAACGACCTATACCGGCCATCGAGAGCGTCATAGAGCTGTGTTTCGGTGGCGCCACGACGTGGCGCGTCTACGTCGGGAGGTCGAAAACATGGCAGGATGCACTGATCGAGTAGCACGGCCGGCATCGGTCAGGTCCACCTACAGGGTGCCGGGCAAGGGTCCGACAAACCCAGTGTCCCCGGCGCCGGCCAGCCAGTTCTGGCGAAGGCGACAGACCCTGTTCGATGCGATTCGATGCGTTTTCCTACCAGGCAAACAAGGGTCGGTTTCTCGTAGCTGTCGTAGCTTTTTGGAGTCCTCGTCGGGTGTCGGACTTGTCCGAGTACATTTGTTGTGTGCAGGGGTTGCCGTATTAGGCTTTTGAGCCGTACTCTTCGTCAGGATGTTCGGATCCTTCTACGTTGCACAAGACGCTGCTCAGGTCGGGGGTTTAGTGTACTCTTTCTGTGGGCCTGGTACACCTCGTAGTCGTATTCCTCATAGTGTCATAGAGCGGGCATCCATGCGGAGTCGAAGTTCTGCCGTCGGGATGAGATGAGATGTAAAGACATGTCGGTCGAAAACTCCGAAGTTCCACTATTGGCGCCGGTCGACATCCGACGTGCCCCACAAGCATCTGTGAAGGCTATATTCTTTGGTGCCTGCGGCATGCGGCTGTCGACGTGCAGAGGTATTCCGTAGTCCGGAGAATAGTCCTGAGATGAGAAACGGATCCTGCCCAAACCAGGCCATTATCAGTACGGCGAAAATACAGGTTTGTTGTCTTGCTTGACAGAGGCATCGTCGCCTGCAAGTGGTCATGTTTTGCATATTCCGCAATGTCGCATTCACCCGAGAATACGCCTCATGTAATCAGCCAGTGTTGGAGGCTAGGCTGCAGCAGATTGCAACAAGCAGCTTTCATGTCGTTGGCTATGTTAGCAAACGGCAGGGCTGTTTCATTCCTTGCGCAGATTTTGTGTGCCGTGCGAGGGTTCAACTACACATTTCACGCCGAGGCACCAGCTCTCGGTGTGACGACGACGCCAGCTGGGATAAGGCAAGAAACCTGACAGCAGTCTTTGTGACGGAAGAGCCGCAATGAGATGCTTCAAGCGCGCTACCAAAAATAACAGCATCTCAACATGCTCATCTTTTTGAATTCCCTGTCAGGGCTGAGAGCTCCGTCACCAAGGCTCCGGCCCCTGCTCGTCTCGTGAAGTTGCCTCTCTTGCCAGTAATCAGGTGGCGCTTGCAAGATGCAGAGTGATTGGCACACAGCTGGTAAGCCGATCTCTACCTCATGGCAGTTCTACTACACTTCACTCTTTTCTGTGCCTCAGGTGGCGCCGTCGAATGGGCAACTCAGCGGCACATTGCAGTGCATACGTAGAGCCTTGACAGCATGAGAGAGCTATGTGACATTTTGTTGGGGCGTTGTTTACACCTATGGTTGACAGTTCCAGCAGCACGGCACCGATTACTTTCCTGGTGATCTGTGCGTCGGACTACCAGACCGCAAAAGACGGCCTGCAGCAGCCTGCAGGTCCTGACACAAGCCTTTCATCTTGCATAGGCAAGCCAGCAGTAGGGCGAGCCCACCTGAGAGTCGAAAAGTTCAGGCCACGGCCAAGCGTGGCCAAAGCGCGGCCGAAGCCCCAACCGGAGCAAAGCGTCGCTGTGCCACCGCCGGGCTCCAAGATCGCCGGCTGTGGGTGCCGATCCCTTGAACCTCATTCATAAGTCTCGGTATTCGGGCTCTTGCCCTGACATTTCTCGGTCACTATGTCACTACGAACTTAAGTATAATGGTGCTCCTCCGAAGCCAGAGCATCCAAGACGCCATCCGAAGTGGAGTTGCCTGGTGGATTCTCAACACGCCAACATAGGAGGCCACACAGGTTCGAGGTGCTGCCGCGCCGGCAACATTTGCAAGCACACGCGTGCACACGCAGACGAGGACACACTGACATGGAAATCTGAGTCGCTGCAACCCGAACTGCAATTCTTGTGCATCTTAGCTGGCCTTCACTTCGTTCACCCTCATGGACATACACCCGTGACAGGGCTGGATCCAAGGCAGCCACAACGGTGAGGCTCGACCGCTATGCGGTTGCGGAGCTAGCGCCTGCAGTGTAATGCGATTCGATTCGGACAGTGTTGAGCAAAGATGCAGCATCCCAGCATCTCTGTCTAGCAACAGGGATTCCGGCAAAAGGGCTCCAGTAGAGCTGCACCGGGCTGTCATGGCAGGCCGCGAGGCAGCATCGGCCTAGATGCGAAGTGTCCGGGCTGAAATCGACTCAAGGCTGAGGGCAAACCCGGCCTTGTCATGCCTTGCCCCTCCAAGGTATCGGCCACCTGGAAGCCAAGAGACGCCGGCAACCAAAAGGTGTGGGCCGCGGGCTTCAGCTTTTGGGGTGCCATGCCGCCGTCGCAGGCAATTTCGACAACTTTGCAGCCATTCTGAAGCCAGTTTTGCCACGATCAGCTCTTTTTGAGGAACTGTAGCATATTGGTTTCAGCGGCTGAGTAACAGGACACGAGGCAGTGTCGGCCTCGCAAGCGCTCGGTGCACAACTCAGGGCAACCCTCGACTCCAGAAGACTTCTGCTCACTCTGCACAGCACCGCCTGACTGGGACTTTGGCCTGCAAGGTCACGGACGCCGGCAGCTCGAAAAGAGCAAGACGCACCAATCAACTCGCAGCTTCACTGCATGATCTAGCTTCGGGGACTCTTAATTTGGAATGAACTCCTGCCATTGAGACACAGCGAGGGCTGCACGCGTTGGCAGGTCCGAGTTGCCAGAGGATTGGGAGGCTCGTGAGGGTGTTGCATTTCAGAAGTCTTCTGAAGCCTTCGATTCCGTGCCAACGATCCAGTCCAGAACTCCCCGTGTTTTCTTGCCTGCATGGCAGGAGCACCTGAGTGAGGAGTATGGCATTTCATACTTCTGGAACCGAGTGACCAACGAGTCGAGATGGGACAGGCCGGGTTCTTGTGTGTGCACGCTTGGATTCTCTAGCCCACGAGCTTGCGATATTTCTGATCATATCTACCCGCTTGGTAGTCCGCTCTGCCAGTGCAAAACATGGCAGGCCTTCAACCTGAAGCTGCATCATCGCGTGACTCGGCAGCAGCAGATAGCTCGCGATGGTCCGAGCTTGCCCACTCGCACTCAGACGTTCGTGTGTTTGCTTGCGCGTGTGTAAAACTGTGCGCCCAGGTGTGAGAGAGGGTAGCGATTGCCGATTCTCGGTGGCAGGGCCGCCCAGCCAGCGCAGCTGTCTGCAGTGACAAAAATCGAGCGTCTGTGGCAGATCGTCCCGTTTGATGTCCTTCCTGTTGCAAGCTTCAGCTTGCCTTTAACGTGAGACTCTCGCGATGAAGCTGAGTGGAAGCCTGGTGGGAGACAGACTGCTGTGGAGACAGACTGCTGTGAGCTGCTTGCCAACTTTGGGCATTCCAGGCGTCACGTGAAGCTCTTTGCTGCTGCTTGCTCTGGAGAGATAGATGTACAGATTCAGACAAGCAGGTCATACGACCTACTCTTCAAGGTTGAGTCAATCCGGCATCATTAAGAGCTCAGCTCATAGCCCAGTCAACTCACACCGCTGGCCGCCATGGGTGGCTTCGTGGCGAAAGGAAAGGGCGGTCCCGGCAAGGACGAGGTCCTTTGCCCCTCGCTGCAAGTAGCAGGAAAAACATGCATACGATTGTGACAGGGGCCGAAAAGCCTCAAGGCCGACATGCTCCCTGGCTACACAGTTTTGCAGGCGTAAACATTCGGCCCCCTGCGTCGCCCCCACGTTACAGTACATGCACTGGTATGCTTGGATGTGCCTCATCAGCGAAGCTAGAATCCAGAGTTGAACCGGGTCTTGCTCGCGAATGTGGAGGTTGAGAGAGGCTACTGGTGCACCACTGCCAGGCCACGTTGACCCGGACAAGTCACCCAAGCAGGATGGAAATGCACCAGAACCCCAACACGCCTAGCAGTGACAACACTGTGGCAGTTGTCAAGCCCAAGGATGGAGGACGAAGCAGAGGACTCCGAAGATGAGGAGCATCAGATGCTGGTCGGAATATACTTGATAGCTCGAGACCTGGATAAGCATCATGCAGTTACGAACAGTCATGAGTCACGAACGTCACATCCGGCCAGTGTTGAGGTCAACAGACCCTTAGAGACATGGTGCAAGTGGACTTAAGATTCAAGGATGGAGAAGGATGCGCTTCGGGCCATGGAGGTCGGTGGAAGAGAAAGCATCCCGGCCGGAGCTTACCGCTCTCTCCTCCAGCAGAAAGTATGCCATTCATGTCAGTGCAGCCTCCCGACCGAGACTTGGAAGACAGCACTCAATTCTGATTGTTAAGGCAAGCTACTGGCGTAGACACACGTACGATGCTGTGCATCTAAAATTAGATACCTGAAGTACCTCTTTCGACCCTTGAACCATCGTGGCCGCTGAAGGCCGATCATGCCGGCAATTTTGCACAGATGCAAAAGCAAAGGTCTGGCCGCAGCTTACGAAGCAATGGCAGCCAAGGAGGCCGATGTAGGGCTGTGTGTGGACAACGGCATGTGACAATGTGACAAGGTCGACTCAATTTCAGAAGTCAGTGAGTCATGGGGTCTGTGACCTGCCGTACACTACGTGAGGGAGACGTGTGCAATCCACGGGGGCTTGTAGTTGGACCGTGGCGCGTATTTGCATGTGTTATTTCACTTCTGGCCTTTTCGACTCGGTATTTGCGAGGGTTCGCATTTCAAGGGGGGGGGGGGGTGCGGGGGGCTGATGACGTCCGGTTTTGCTACATCTTCTGAGCATGTTTACCATGTCGGGCATGTGTTGATGGTGAACTTTGCTGCATGGCATGGTCATGCTGATGGTCCTTCTTGTCAGCGCGAGGGGGGGTGGAGCGTCGGAACGGGGGGGATGATGACGTTCAGGATTGGAGCCACGATGATGTTAAAAGATGTTTCGCAAAAGAAACGTGCTGCCCCGAGCCTAAACTATTTTGTCCCAAAGCCCCGCTTGAAGCCTACATCCATGATCCATCACATCTTCCAGTGTTTCGTGCTCTCAAAGCCATAAATCTGTAGAGGCGCACCTTGTAGTTTCGGGCTAGGTTGCAACTAACTCTGGCTCTGTGGCAGAGTTGTAAGTATGTCTCTACACCCTGCATCGACACATAAGACCAGAGGTCGTCTATGACACTTTCTCCGATGAGCTGCGTGCTGGCTACATTGCAAGGGTGCAGGCCCGCGAAGCTTGGCATCCTGGATGCAAAATGATGCAAGGTCATCTTGAGCTGACTTTTGAGAGCTTGCAACGTGTGGGTGGTGTCCCTATGTCCGCAGTCTCGGTGAAGGCGCTAGGTCGCTAGGCTAGCACAAGCCGGGCCGTCGTCGGCGTTGCCCGGGGTTCCTTTTTTTGAGTCCTGTTTTAGCGTGTTTTTCCATCGTTTCGGCATTCTGAGAGCACACGTTTTTGGAAGTGCTTTCTTTGACCCGCCTCCCACGTAACATTCGTGATACTGTGGCACGTTTGGCGGCCCCGCCGCCCCGAGCATCTTCTGATCGTTCTGCGCAAACATGCTGGCAAATCTCTGGCCCAACTGAAGTCGGGAAGCCGAACCCCGCAGAGCTTGCATGAGCTTGCTTTTTGCTGGGCCTGAGAATTCCCAGTTGATTTCGAGCCTACCAGGTGCGAAGAAGTGGAGACGTCGCACGAGCAGAGAGAAGCGCGAGACAAGGCCTTGATGTCTGTTTGGCATTGGTCGACGAGCATTCTGGTCATGTACCCGCCAGGAGTTTGCCGTTCATCACTTGTGTAAAGACGACATTAATGCTTCGTCCACCGGGATTTCTTGTGGGACACTCTGACCGCTTCGGCCGGGGCCGAGAGGCGAATGAGGGCCGCAAATCCGTGCCTCACGTCTGATCTAGCCAGGCCTTGGCCCAGCATGCTGCAAGTGTGGCAAGATCTCTGAGGCCTTGCAGGGAGGTGATCTCGTGTCAGCCTGTTCTCTGCACCGATTTCAGCAGGTGGCTTGCACAGATGCGTGAATCCTGGACCTGATTCGCTTCCCTGGGAGTGTTAGCCCCTGTCCTAATCAAATTTACAGACGGCAAGAACAGAAATCTGAAGTCAAGCGTTACAGTTAACGAGGTCATCCATCACATGAGCATGTCATGAACGATGCGTGAGCCCATGCAGGAGGTGAACCGCCGTATACACGGCACGGATGGTAGCACATTTCGATTCCAAACCTGACTCAGTGACAATAAAAGACTGTAGGTCAACAGCCAATTCCCCGCTTCACGAAACGCTTTCACCATGCCCTTGCAGGGAGAAGCAACACACATGTCTCAGAATCAGCTCGCCCAGATTCGGAACAGCCATCACGCACAAGCGGATTCCAGGATGGCCGGCCGGAGGCGTTTGGCAGCGTTTGGAGGTTTCTGCAAGAGATATCCGATCTGTCCTTCCCTGAAGTAGCCAGGCATGCACGAGCACGGATGGTGAGAGCCACCCCGGCTTTCAGAAAGGTGTCTTGGATTATTGGTTGGACCGGGGATCATGAGCGCCAGTCGCGACTTTTCGGCGATAGGTTCTTGCCTTTGTTGCTGTTGCTTGCTTCTGTTTTATCTTTGCATGGGCTTCCTGGCAATGATGGTCGTCTGTGCAAGCTACTCTTCCCAGTCTACACATCTGTCTTGCTCATGCTGGGTGAGCTAGCGCCAGCAAGGTAAGGCCATAAGCCTGGAAACCTTGCATGTGCGGGGAGGAGGCCAACTGGTTATCGCTTCATTGAGCGACTTTTCAGTGGTTATGTGGATTTGCCACACCAGCTTGTTGAAGTAGCTCTGAGTACGAACCAGAGCCTCAAGAACCGAGTCGTACAGAAAGTTTGTGCCGTTAAGTTTTTCTTCCTTCACTTCGTCCCGATTTGGCTTATCATGGCACCAAAACAAACAAACCATCCGGACTGCGAATACGCGCGCTCCGCAACTTAGGCGCACAGAAGTGCTAGAATCTGAGATTTTCAAGTGCCTCCTGGCTCCAAACGGAGCCGCATCCCTTTGCCTCAGGTCCTGTGTCTTTCGCTCATTGCAAAAGGCCTGATCTTAATCGTTATCTACGCAAACAGTCGGTCAGTAAAGCTCCACTGACGCTTCTGCTGGGTACGGAACAGGGAACTTCTGTGCACACGTTTCACTCGAATATGTCCGCAGACCGCAGCAAGTCAAAGGAAACTTTGCGACATGCAGAGCTCAGCCATCTGAGCCACTGAAAGCTGGCGTCTCATGCACGTCCTTCGGTAGCTCGATGCATGTCCGGCTGGAGATGTAGACTACTGCCTCAGGCGCAAACTGCACAAAACATTGAAGGAGCTGTCGGACAGAAACCAGTTCTAATCAGTTGCCGCACAGAGGATGTAGGCTCAAAGCGGCCCGGGTTCATTGGGATTCGCCTGTTCGGATCTGGGCTCAGTCGACTTGAAAGCGGGTGCCCGGGGCGGACGCCAGCCTGGAGCAGACATGGTCGCGCCCCCAAAAGGGCCGACACTTCGGGACTTTTCTAGGTTCTGGGTTCTTGCTCACTGCCTGATGAAGGGGCGCACGGGGACCGACAGTGTTCACCCGACCGTTCGTCGAAAGCGAGTGCCGGCTGTGAGGCCGGAGCTCCGAATCAGACGCTGTCCAGCTCTTACTCTTACTGTCTGTGCATGCGACTGGTTCAGCACTTCGCATCCAACTGGATGTTGATGGCTACGGCTGTGCAGATTGAAAGGATGTTCCCGACACCAAAGCCAAGCATTCGGAGCTTGAAACCCCAGCGACTGATTGAAAGGTACGTCAACAACCTAAACGACAAAATCAATGTCGAGACCCTGAAAAAGTCTTTGCGAGAGGCGGAGTAGCTGTGGCTGCACGAGATGGGAGACGAGTGAACACGGATGTTGTGAAAACATAGAGATAACACATATATATATATACACACACATTCTAAATAACTACATATACTACCTACCTACCTACCTAC